CGCAGCGCTCACGCCGGCCCGCAGGCCTCGACGCCACCGCCTCCCCCAGAGGCCGCGCCCGTGACACTCGGGACAGAAGCGCACCCCGCTCGCTCGTGGGCTCGCCTCCTGCCCTGGCCGGACACCCCCGTCTGCCCCTCCTCCGCCACACCGGACATTCTGCCTGCCGCGCTCCCGGACCCCGGCCACGCTCCGGTGGGCGCGGAGCGGCTCTGGTGGAGTCAACACGGTGTGGAGGGAATGAGGCTGTGCTTAAGGGAGAAGTGGGGGCCCCCGCAGGTGTCGGCCTGGTGAGGGAGGGAGGGAGAGCAGGTGCGGATCTTACTAGAAGGCCGTGGCTGCTGGCGCACTGTGCGGGGCGGGGGACACGGCCGGGGGGAGAGGGGAGCAGGTAGGCAGGACCGGCCCGGTCACTGCTGCTGTGTGCGTGTGTGGCTGGCCCTGGAGGGGCTGAGCTCTGAGCTCCGAGGAGGGGCCTGATAAGGAAGACCCCCCCCCCCACTGCAGCCTCATCCTTAGGTGGCTCCGATGCCCAGTCTGCCCCGCCTGGCCACCCTGGCCCATTCTCACCCAGCCTGGCACTGCAGCCCCCCCCCCCCCCCCGCAAAGCTGCGGGATCGGTGCCCACGGAGGCTGGCTGTTCCCATCGTCTCCACAAGGCGGTGTGGGCCTTCTGATGGTCTTAGCGACTAAACCGGGGCGGGGGCAGAGCCAGCATGCCAACTGAAGGGACAGATCCCGAAGCAGGCAAGGCCAGCAGCAGCAGTCACTGGACTTTTTTTTTTTTTCCCCAGTTTTCCAGTGCAAGTGTCTGGATAAATATTCTAGGAGCCTGCATGGTACTCAGCCCTTTGTGCTCTCCTGGGAGAAGTCCATGGGGACCGCAGTGAAGCCGGGGAGGGGGATACCTGCTACCAACACATTCATCCCGGCTAAGAAGAAATGCAATACTTCCAAAGACATTATAGACTGCAGCAGGCCACTCATTCTCAGAGACTCATGTGGTAACGCTACTCTCAAGCCCTCATTTGTTTAGCCCCATCTTTTTTTTTTTTTTCACATGCACTGAAGGCCCGTTATGGCCCTGCTGTGACAACACAGATTCCTGCATACATGAAGCTTATTTTTATTTTATTATTATTTTTATGTGTGTGGAAGAAGACAGGTAACAGCAACCTCAGTTAATAGATGCTACACTAAATTAAAAGCAGGCAATAAAACTTCAGTGTGCCTGGGCTGGGTGGTCAGAAGCCTCTTCATAGATGACAAGACAGAGCAATCATAAAGAAATCAGGGAGAAAACATTCCAGGTGGAGCAAACAGGTGAAGCAAAGGCATCAGGTAGGAGTGAGTTTTATAGTCAAAAGAATGGGCAGGCCTGAGCATCGGGGACTGTAATGAGAAACTAGGCGTGGGTATTTGGGGTCTGGGTACCATGGTGTGGTTTCTGCAGTGTGGAGGAGAGGATGTGGGCTTTGTGAGAGGAGTGTTCTAGGTGGCAGTGAAGGGGCTTTGTTTCTGGGTTGGATACAGATGTGGGCAGAGGGTGGACGGAGGACGAGAATCAAGGCGATTTATACATTTTTAGCCTGATGAGCCATTTTTAGCATGGTGCACAGACATTGTCACCTAGTGATCTGGGGAGATGGAGAGGGAGGCAGTTCTGGGGGAAAAGTCTATGCTTGATACACCAAGTTTTAGATGTGTACTAAATCTTACGGTAGAAATGGTTAAGAATGAATGAATCTTAATTAAGCCAGGTTCTGGTAGTTCATGCCTTTAATCCTAGCTACTCAGGAGGCAGAGGTTCAAAGTCAGCCTAGGCAGGAAGGTCTGCCTACCAAACTGACCACCAAAAAGTCGGAAGTGGTGCTATGGCTCAAGTGGTAGTGCGTCAGCATGAGCAACAAAGCTCAGGGATAGTGCCTGGGCCTGAAGTTCATCAGGGAAAAAAAATAACTCTGATGTGTGCCTCTAGAGTTCTGAAGGAAGGGCGGGGCAGGGGAGAGAGAAGGGGGGGGAAGGAGGGGGAGGAGGAGGGAGAGAGAACTGGGAGCCATGGGGTAGAGAGGGCAGAGGCAGGAGGGCCAGGGGTGGAGTGAAGGTCTTCAGAGGGATGAGGTCACTGATGAGCAGTCAGAAGTGAGGGCGGGGTGGGGGAAAAGCTCTCCCCTAGGGTAGAGAAGAAAGCTATAAGGATGGAGAGGCCAGGGGTGGAGGGACCGCTCCTGTGGGTGCCAGAGTTGCCAAAAGTGAGACATGCGTGTCCCCCCCAAGAGAAAGTTTGTACATCAGAAGCCACATGGTCACCAAGGAGGTGCCGCTCTGCAAATGTTAGGAATACCTATGTCCATGACAGGGGGTGGGGGGGCTCCCCTGGGGAGGAGGAGACAGATGGAAGGATTGGGGAGAGAGGGCAATGCACTCCGGGGGGGGCTGCCTGGTGCCAGTGCCAGGGTTTCTAGAGCGCAGGATGGCAGCTGGAGCAGAAAGCAGATGGGAGGTGGGTTGGGAACCTTCCAGCTTTGGGGTGTCTCTACTAGCAGAGGAGGCCGCTTTGGAAGTCATGCAGCCTGTTGGGACAGGATGTCTGCAGAGCCTGTGGGAGGGAGGAAGGAAAGGAAGTTCCTAAAGGAAGGCAGATGATGATGAGGAGGAAGGGCTGTACCTCTGACAGTCGCCACGCTGAGGGAAAACTCAGCTGCAGGAGGGAAGGCCCCCCGGACCGGGACGACCGTGGACATCAGCCTCGCAAGGCTGGCTCTGGGGCCTCACGCAACAAGCAGCTTCTACCAACTGGGGCACAGGGACGCTCTTCCCTGAGCCTCTGTGAATCTCTCTGGAGCCCAGAGGCTTGGGAGAGGCTTTGCCCTGTGATGACTGGCACGGAGGCCTGGAAGTGCCCTGTCTCCACCCCTGCCTCCCACTGTTGCTGCCACAGGTGAGAGAGAAGATGGAATCCCCCTCCCCCCCCAAGACTTTGCCCTAGGGAGTAGGGCAAAGCTGGATTCTAAATGGCAGCCACAACCCGCTGGGCAAGGCTCACAGACCCTCTCCCCCCTCCTAGCTCAGGACTGCAGGACACCTCTCTTCTACTTACCACGGACTTGCGAATGCTGACGCGGGGCTTGGGGATGGGCTTGGAGGGCTTGTTTTCAAAGCTTTCCGGGAGTGTGGAGGAATGTCCCCCTTTTCTTGCTTGCAGCGCCAGCTGGTAAGCCACCTCAAATGCCTGGCCCAGTGTGAGGATGATTTCGTAAGCTAGATTCTGCAAGAGAAAGGAGAAAGCATTAACCCTGGGGCGGGGGGGCACATGGCAGGTCTGAAGGAGCTGCCAGGCTGAAGGACACGGTTTGGGGGCAACCTCGCTCTACCGCACGAGGCCGCAGTGACTCACACACATCTGTGGAGCCTGGACACAAGGCTTTAGCTATCCATCTCCGTGCAGGGTCTGCACGCGGCCCCTCAGCGCCCCTGGCCCATCCTCGGCATGGATAGATGGGCGGGAGGGGAGCACAAGCGTGCCTCCACCAGGCTGTGAGGCCCTGCCCACTGGCTCCAGGGGAGGCGTTCCTGAGAAGTTTGGGTCTTTTTTACCTCAAACATCTGTGATTCAGTGAACGTCTACGAAACACAATCAAAATCTAATTTCGGCGGAGGGGAGAGGCATTAGTCATGCTGGTGTGGAGTCTCACAGTGGCAGCAGCGAGCGTGCAAACAGTGCGCGAACGGAGCCAATTACCCGTCTATTTCTTAAGGCTGCATCTCTCCCTGTGGGTCCAGTCTATATTTCATCATCAAACCAGCCAGAGACAGGAGAGTCTGTCGGGCCAGAATGCCGTGCCATGCAACACCGGGAGCAAGGTTCTTCTCTTTGTTTTTGACTTTCCATCAGACCATCAGTCCATCTCTAACCTTCCTTCTCTCTCAACAGCTTATCTTGGGCTTTCGTCTTTTCTTCTCTGTGTAGCTCTACCCTGTCTTCTCCCACTGAGAGAACATGACACGGGGCCCCAGAGATGCAGGGTCTTCAGAACCCTGAGGTCCCAGTACAGCAAAGTCGATGTATGCCTGGGGACTGAACCTATGGTCTCAGGCCTGCTAGGCAAACACTTTGCCAATCAAACCACAGCTCAGCCTGAGAATGTTCTCGAGGTCACTGCACTAGCTGAGCAGAGGCACCATGGATCCTAAATTTTTATCCTATAAATGACCCTAGAATGTCTCGGCATGGTTTCTCCAAATCGCAGACAGCATTCTGCCTTTGCCGAGATGCAACTGTGCCTTCCTGTCCCCGCCCACCTCCACCCTTACTCGCCACACTGTAAGCTTTCTGGAGAGAAGTCTGGAGACTGTCCTAGGGCCTGCTGAACATGGATACAGAGACACTGGGTAATTTTCTGAGACCATGAGGAAGAATCCTGGGGGTTGTAGACCCATCAGACTTTAGGTCAATGTCATGGTCACAGAACTAAGTAGGAAAACACCTCTGAGCTGCAGAGTTGGTCTGACAGAGGATGAACCTGGCACCCCCGAGCCGTTTGCTAGGTAACAGTGGGCCTACATGACACATGATGCCAAGAGTGCATCTTGCACAGCAGCTGGGCCCTTCCCTGCAGCGCACGCAGCCAGTCTTTGCCTCCAGGAATGAGTCAGACTAGTAAATTAGTAACAAACCAACAAATGATAGTGGAGGAGGACTGGGAGACAGCTCTGACCATCACTTCCCACTGCCTACACTGTCAGCGTTGCCTCTCAGTGCTGCATGGGATGCTGGGAAAGGTGGACGAGGCTCCCGATTTCCTGACTCACAGAGGCTGCAGCCCTTAGTCTGGCTCACTGCTATTGGGCAAGAGGGTCAGTGTCCATCCGTGGGGACATTGTGGCAGATACTCATGGCAGCTATGAGACCTAGTGGCCGTATTATATGCGACCTTTACAAGGCAGAGCCAGAGAGCTTAAAGTGTGAATTCCTTTGTCATTAGCCTAAAATAAGTTCCTGAAAGTGAGAGTAGTTCATGCCCGGCTGTCATCGACTGGAAGCTGGAGCTGCTCATTTGAGCAAGTGAGATTTTTCACATGACTATTATGGGAAGCTGAGAAGTTCTGCAGGGTAATGGGCTAGAGGTTTTGCTCTTTTGTTTTAACTTTGTTTCTGCTATTAAGAAACTACTCCAAGAAGACACAGAGACAGGACTGCAGCCAATTTTCTGCCAATCCACCCCTCCTGGTTTGGCTTGAGTTCTCCTTGACCTCTTGCTTTGGTTTTGTTTTATAATGCTTTATAGTGTTTTTTTTTAATAAAGAGTTGGATCTTGTTACATTTTTCTATTTTTTCTGCGGTCTTATTTCTTTTTGTCAGTCATGGGGCTTGAACTCTGGGCCTGGGCACTGTCCCTCAGCAATTCAGCTCAAGGCTAGTGCTCTACCACTTGAGCCACAGTGCCACTTCCAGCTTTTTCTGTTTATGTGGTGCTGAGGAATCGAACCTAGGGCCTCATGCATGTGAGGTAAGTGCTCTACCACTGAGCCACCTTCCCCGCCCCAGTCTTAATGTTTGAAGTATGGATACTGGATACCAGGGTGGCCCATAGGCACTGAGGCTGGCACAGAGCCCTCTGCACCAGCCCTCGGTGCAGGTGCAGGTGATCTTTCTTAGGTTTAAACCTGGGGCCTTTCGAATGCTAGAGGCAGGCACATACTCCAATGGGGCAAGAAGCCCCATTTGCCCAATCATTCTTGTGGATTCTTCGGTTAATATCCTACTATGTGCAATAGGAAGATGACTGTTATCCAGAAGGCCCATATTGCTGAGATAAGAATAAAAATTCTATTGCAATAGTATTTAATTAATTGTACATTAAAGACACATTAATCTTTGTTTTAGAAGCTAGAGATTATAAAGTGTAGAAAAAAATGTTGCTTAATTTTGATGCCAGCATGAGATTTTTGTCTACTTCTGGTTCTCATCTATCTGTATAAAAATTCTGTTCAAGCCGGGTTTGGCTCATGCCTGTAATCCTAGCTACTCTGGAGGATGAGATTTGAGGATCGTGGTTTGAAGCCAGCCAGGGCAGGAAAGCCTGTGAGACTGTTATCGCCAATAAACCTCTCAGAAAAAGCTGGAAGTGGCACTGTGGCTCAAGTGGTAGAGGCTAGCCTTGAACACAAAGAGGCCCAGGAAAAGTGCCCAAGGCCCTGAGTTCAAGCTCTAGGACTGGCCAAAAAAAAAAAAAAAAAGGAGGAAAAAGATTCTGTTTACTATGGGATTAGTATTACATTTTGAGGTAAACACAGCATTTGTATTGCTTGATAAGCTACTACCTTGTAAATGAAAAAAAAATACTGTATGTCAATTAACTTAATGGATCAATACAATGATAAAAGATGTTTTCTTTAAAAAAGAAGAATGCATCAGTTATATTAGCATATTAGTTATAACATAATGACAATTCAATTGTCATGCAAATGGGGAGTGGCCCTGTACTCTGCTGGGGCTTTCTTGGAGCACTGGTTCATCTGGTTCATGCAACGGGGCTATCCAGTAGACCGCTTGTAGAGGACCCCCCTCCCCGCCAGGCATGAGGCCCTGGAGGAGCGATCTGAGCTGAGGCTCCAGATGCTGTATGGAGCAGAGAACCACAGTGACACCCCAAATCCTGACCGACAGGAATGTCACCATAATAAAGTGGCTATGCTGTCCCATGCTGCTGCCCACTGGGGTGTTAGGTACAGTCTGTCACTAACTGCATCCTCCCTTGTTGGGCAGCACGAGTGGCTGCTCTGAGTAGCACTGGAGCCCAACCTGGAGCCACCCGCCTCCCAGCTGCTGGTCCATCCTGGTCACAGGAGCCCGGCGAGCACCGAGCTTTCTTTCCATTTGATAGTTCAGACTGCAGAGCTGCAGTGTCCTTTTAAGCCAGCAAGGCCACACTCTCATCCTGGTTACTCTGTTGGGTATGAATTCGAACTCTTCGTTTGGCACATATTACCTCTTAAATGTTGCACCCCTGCCGCCGCCGGTCTCTGATGGGCTCCTTCCTCCTGGAGCTCATTAATAGAAACATATTCCTTGCCGTGACTTTTCCAATATGAGTTTCTTGAGATGCATTGTGGCTTTGAGTAAGTTTTTTTTTCCATCTTACTCCGACCACCAGTGAAAAAAGGAAACAGGAATGCACATGGATTGGTGGGGCCTGGGGAATAATTACTGTACGCTGCCTACTTGGAGCTTTGCTTTTCTCATCACAAAATGGGAGATGATGCTACTCACAGTACCCACCTTACTGGATCGTGTTGAGTCTCACGAAGGGCATTGTTTCATGTAATGACCACACTGGCTAGCCTTCATCATTTACTGTGCCGTGCACCATGTACGTGCCCTATGTCGGCCGTAGTATGTAGTTCACAGAACATCTCTGTGCCCATAGGTCTATTATATTTTCCTTTTACATGTGAGATATAATTAAGCTTAGAAAGGTTAATTTGCTTCAGATTCTAGCACCTGCCTGGGCTGGTATTTGAATCCATGCTGATATGTTTTATTTTTGACCACTTGAAAGCATACTTGTAGCAAAGTTAAAGTTGTTGGATGTTTGCTCCATTTTCAGATGAAACCGGTTAGGGTCTCATGAGAGGACCAGTTAGGGGACATCCTTCAGACATAGGATGTCTGTCTTTTGTGACTTGACTATGAACAGTCAACATTCCCGGCTCCAGCAACAACTTGGATAAAGGCAGGGAGTATCCTGATTCAATGGGATCAATGCACATCACCATCTCCCCTCTTCTACAGGGATTTCAATGTACGTGTTAAGAATTGCTCTAATAGGGGCTGGGAAGGTGGCTCAGTGGTAGAGCGCTTGCCTTGCATGCCTGAGGCCCTGGGTTCGATTCCTCAGCACCACATAAGCAAAAAGAAAAAA